ATGTAAGTAAGCATAAGCTGATAAAAGTAATTAAAAAGTTCACATACAATTTAGTTACATTCAAGAAGTTAAAAAAATATTAACAAATATACCTCTCAGATAAAAAAAACACCGAAAAATTTATTTTGGCGTTCACACGTTATTTAAAATACCGCTCGGGACAACTCAAATCCAGATTTAATACACCAAAAGCGCATACAAAGAACGGTTATGCTGACACAAGCACTTCTTCTTTCAAGTGCTTGCTTCGTGCTTCAAGTGCTTACATTGCATCTTTCATTCTTGTAAAAGAATCTTGAGTCAGGATAGTCACACAAGCACAACTCTAAAGATGGTGAAATGCTGAAACGCGCCTGACAAATTAACCCAACGAAGGTAGGCAGACCAAAATGAACGGTAACGATAAAATTACAGGAAAAATTAACTGTAAATCATGCAATAAATAGAAAGACCAATAACATAATAAAACATAAATCATCAAATCGTTAACTAACATAAAATGTGAAAACAAAAATAATAATTATAAAAAAGTACAATCAGTTCTGTACATTATTATATTCCTGGGCATATTTTGTCTATATATATTTATATATCCATACATATTACAGTTTAGAAAAAATATGTACATATAGAAGGGATAGAAAAAAAAAGAAATTTCTTCAACCATTTAGCTTTCCTTTTCCCTAATTATCCACGTCAATATGTATGCCTGAAAGGATAACCAGGCCTGGCACTTTTAACACGACACACAAGAATGACACATCTACATGGAAAACAAATACTTTGATTGAGTACAAATAATTTGATTGAACCTACAATTTTTTCGTATTGTAAAAATGCATTTTTTAAATCTAAAATTTTCAAGCATTGTATAAATTCATTTTATTTATTTATATTTGATTGAACTTAAAATTTCTAGCATTGTAAAAAATTCATTTTTTAATATCCTATATGTATTTGTAAAATTTAAACAATGTTTATAAATCCCAAGCCCTGAAGATGATCTCAATAAAGATCGAAACGTTGGCACGATAAAGAAAATGTTTTTCTAATCCTACGTCACACCAGACTGCATCTCACGATCTCCGAATAATCAAAATTAATAATGTTTTTATTATATTATTTTTATCAGATGAGGCTGTACGTATTTATGACATTTGGTAAATTTTTTAAGCTTTGGTTAAAATTGAATACTAAGGTCAGTGGGCCGAGATTAGATTTCTGTCTGTAGTAATCGTCAATTCAGAGATAGTTAGGTCATTGTTTGTGGCCTGTCTTTGTATTAATAGAGAATAGGCTGACCAGGATGATCAAGGACGTTCAAACTTCTGATAACTGTTCAACAACTCGCCCAATACCCAGAGCAAAACTTCACAATTATTATTGAAGTTGAGAAAATCTTGTAACGTCAGACCCTTCAACCCTGAAAAGCCCCAGGCCGTGAATTAACTATATTTTCTCGATTGTTTAACCTGCCGTGTTAATTTCATCTCGCCCAATGTTGTTCTTTCCGTTAAACTTCTCAAGATCCCTGATAGCCGAAAATCCCGGAGGGATCACCTATCTGTTTTGAAAGAAGGTTCCCGGAAACTCGTACGGGAAAGGACAGCCGGGGATTAGGGAACTTCCTATGTAAGCTAAACTGAAGATGGGATTTGTCAAATACAAGGTCAACACACTCCCTTTTTCATCACGGAAAATTGTTTGAATAGTCTAGAACGCTGTGACTCTTTTTCACACGATCACCATAAAAAAGTAATTTCATAAAATTCAATAATCACAAAAGGGCATAATTTTATTCGTATTATTATTTACCGCGTAAGAATATAATAAATCTTTAAAATAATTCCAAGCGTGTTTAACATAAAATTAATAGCAATTTTATCACACAGAAATTCTAAAGTTTATAACAGAGCGATTTTTAAATTTTATTTCTCATTGTTGTCTCTCTTATTCACAGACTCTCTCACACTCACAAAATGAAAACAAAAACACAAAAAATCTATCAACAAAGACTTGTAACTTTAAAATTTTACAGTGCAAGATTATCAAACCTACATACTAAAGAAAAATCACATATGCCAAAAACAAGTAATAGACTCACTTTCCAAGAAAATACCCAACATTAAATTAGAAAGAATATATATCATAAACATACATATCACACAGTGTACAGGACATAATATAAAATAATTTAAAAAAATGTGAGGATGATCGGCAAAAAGTCGCTCCCTTGTGTTAAACCTGCATGTCCGATTTGTCGTGTCGGCTTGACTAGATCTTAAGCACCTTGCTAAGAAGAAATTTGAACTTTGGGATTTTCTTCTTTCAGAACCATGGAAATCTTTGGGAACTGTCAATTTGTAAAATTCCCCGACATATCCACATAATGAGGATGTAAACGATTTTGATGGATTACGCTTAACGATCCCTTTAGTTGACAGACTGCTGTAACGAGTATTGTGCCAACACTTTTTTTACCACGAAAAATTAAGTCTAAATTTTTTTTATACTGTTCTTAACCCACCAACCGACCAAAAAACGCAAAATTTTACTGACCCCATGTTGGCAATAAATATTTGCACCACTCGATTAAATTAACGCTATTGCCATTTTCTAATAAAAACTAATAATAACTTGGTAAACGCTGGGAAAAAATATTTTCAACGTTCTATCTAAAAAAGGTAAAAAACGTATTACAAAAAAATGAAAATGTGGTTCTTTCCTGAATTAAAAATAGGAAGAAAAAATGAAAAGTTCAGAAAAACAAAACAAAAACGTATATTGTTATTGTTAAGAATGAACATATTGTCCAATGGTGTTCCAAAACATCCCCTTTAGCCGCAACAATACATTGTCATTTCATATCACTCAATTATGTAGCTTCATTTTTTCATTTAAACGCAGAATGATTGTTTTAAAGGAATTATTTTATCACCTTTCTGTTGCAAAATTGAAATTAACTTCTTTCCCTTCTTATAAGAAATTCGTTTTACTTAGAAAAACCAAAGCCCCGTTAAGCGGATAATCATTGTTTCTACATTAATGCGTCGAAAAGTAAACCACCCTGTATATACAAACCACAAAAACAACAAACATACAATTTTGGTGTAGGAAAAAAGAAAAGATTTGGGGTCGTTATTACATAACGTAGAGTCTTGGTTCATAAGTACTTTTTAATAAATGAATTTATGTTATTAGAAATATGACTATGAATCTAGTAATCAATGATATAATTAAATGTGTGGCAACCTAGGCCCGACACTCGCAGATATTATTATGACACATCTATTATACACAGATGTACCACAACTTCCTTTCATATTACCCTTCCTCACTAAATAAGTAGATGATATTTTGACACCAGTTCCCACAGATCAAATTCAAAATACATAAGAAATATAAAAATGTATCTAAATCTTTCACCCATTCCTACAATTTACACATGAAATCGAAAACAACAAAACAATACCATTTTTAGATACACTCGTTTTAAAACAACCAGATGGCACATTAATCACAGATTGGTATCGAAAACCCAGAAACACAGGTCACTACCTCAACTTTATATCTCACCATCCTCTTCATACAATAATAAACACGCCAAAGGGCTACTTCACATAATTATTACCTTGAGCCATGAATCTTTTCATCGCAAGAACACAAAGATACACAAACATATCCTATATAACAATCACTAACCTAAACACATAATCAACAGAATAATCGGCAACTACAACTTAATTCTAACACCATCTGCTATTACTAATAATGCCGAATAAAGCCGAAGGTCGTGGGTTCGAATCCAGCACGTGACACTAATTTTTTCATTTCAACCAAAACCTTAGATAAATAGGTTATTTAATTGAAAGAAGTAATTTGGTCACTAGACCACTAAATATAATGTATTACTAATAATACTACAACAAATCTATCAAATACAGACAAGCCAACATATATTTCCATGCCATTCACGGACTATCACATAAATTAAACACATTTCTCTCTTCTGACAAGTTTAAAATAGATTTAAAAAACTATAAAACAATTCACACACTTTTTTCCAAAATTAAAGAAACACACCAGTAAGAAAGAAGTCTAACGTAATTTACAAAATCAATTGTTTAAACTGTCATTACATCGGAATTACATCCCAATATGTGGATAAGAGAATATAGCAACATATCTATGATTGCAAAAAACCCAAGCAAAATTCTACAGCACTCGCTACCCACCATTTTGAACACAAACACAATTTCGACTTCAACAATCCAAAAATATTACACATAGTACAAAACAAACATAAACGTAACTTTTTAGAAATGGTTTACATCAACAGAGATCAACACAGCATCAATGACAGAACAGACACGTTTAAACAGTCGCAGCTACGCCAATATCAATAATCACATTCAATATCGATAATATACATATATCATCATCACATCACACAAGATATATAATATAACATGTAAAACACATCAACCAGTTTTACATAGCCTAATTTTTCACCAATTTAACTTTCCTTTTCCGAATTATTCCTGTCTATATAAATCTGAAAGAACATTCTTTCTCATTGTCGGCTCCTTTTACTTCAAAAAAGCCGACTCCTCATATAAAAATTCCTACATAATCCCTAATTCTTTGCCCACCCCTTCAAAATCCAACGTATATAAATATAAAATATCAACACAACAAACAATAATGACACATCTACACAGAAAACAAACACTTTGAGTGAGTATAAATTTCCAGCATTGTATAAATTCGTTTGAACAATGTTTATAAATCCCAAGCCCTGAAGATGATCTCAATAAAGATCGCAACGTTGGCACGATAAAGAAAATATTTTTCTAAACCTACGTCACACCAGACATCTCACGATCTCCAAATAATTAAAAATAATTTTACAAATATATTTAAAAATTAATGTTTGGGTTTTGTGCCTATGTATGTTTGCGTGTAAAAAATTAAATTATTCCAAAGGACTAAATTCATACCTTAAAAGCAAACAAGACAAAACAAAAGCTCTTCGACGCTTCACAAATTTTTGCAAGACGAGAAGAATCTCTCAACTCGCGGTTCATTTTTCCAAGTTGCCTAAGAACAGTGGAAGCGCAATATTTATTATTTATTTAAAGAAAAAAAAGAAAAAAAAATTGTCATAGACGAGAGAAAAAAAACATGTGTTAACATCTATAACTTTCTTTTACAGACCTGTCAGTTCTACCCTGAGGGAGTTGAATACGCCGATGCAAGAAGTGCAGACCGTCAGCGGGAATCGGGAGAGCCAGGTAAAAATGCACCCGCTATGGATGTGATGATCGTTGGAGCATAGCTGTATGAGGTGTTCCGATCTCAAAATACCACATTCTACACACGTAGGGTGCATTACGTTCCGGTTCGGATTGGAGAACCTGGATAAGCTCGCCGGAGAACGCTTCCTCCTTCGTTTCGACATACTTGCCATTCTCAACTTGGTAGTGTTGCGATTTAAAATATATATATATGTATATCTATATATATATATCTATCTATCTACTAGTGCCTATTCAACTTGCTTGATTTCGAAAATGTCGTCTGTTTCAGTTAAGCCTCATCTTGTCTAAGTGTCGACCATAGCAAGGTAATTCTTGGCACGTGTGTAAAACGAGATTTTAAGAAATCTCGCGCTAAAAACTCCTCTCCAATTTTACTTGACTGAAATAACATCTGTTTTTTTCCCTACCATTGGTTCGCAATAAAATTACGCAAAAATAAAGTCTTTTTAAACTTTTTAAAAGATTTCGTCACTACTTGTCCTAAACAGTACCAAAATTAGAAGTTATATGTTATTAAGTTTGATAAACTTTACGGGAGGAGTCAATATAGCCGTCATTACCATGTGCTCTAAATGAACTTTAACCTCACAAAGTTTAATAACAGATTGCTCAAATTATTAATAGTATTTTTATTTTGCTAGTGTTTGTATTTTGTATTACGAAGGGGAAGAAATATGGATTTAATAAGACAATTATGCCTCTAACTTTTGATGGCAATAAATTTTCTTATTTAGTATTTTAGCTGTTATTATAGATTCCTCTAACTGACTGTCGAACCAGAGTGAGATGCGGCAACAAATACTCAGATATCAGACAAATGCAAACGGAGTCCTGCAAGGGAGCATTTTAGGTCTTGTCGTGTTTATCATTTTCATTTCAAACACCCTATACGCCCTAGCGGATGACTTGGCAATTCATCTTATAGCCCGAATCCTATCCAAGAAATATCCCAGAAAATCTTGAGATTATCAAATAATGGGGGAAAAGTGGAAAATAAGACTGAGGAAAAATGTACCCAGTCTAAATTTATAATGAAAATGGGAATCGCCATCTAGCATGCGTCAACTAGGAACTACCGAATTCTATTCAAATCAAATGCTTAGGGCTATTACCTAGAAAGCAGATTTACATGAAATACACACTTCGAAACAGACGATAACTTAACAGAAGACAGAAAAGCCTTTTAAGACCGAAATTGTTTTTAACGTCAAATTTCGATTAACAGTATAGAAGACATTACAGCGACCATTTTGGCCGTACGGAATGGGAATGTGGGTTCCACCAAGCTATACACCGAATTCAATTCTTCCAATCAAAAGACCTCAAACAAATTGTCTCCTTACTCCGTAACTAACGTCTACATCGACATCAAAATTCCTTTTGTCAACGAATATCTGATCTTCCGATCGTTTGGGCAACATATAAAATGTAAACTATTTAAAAGTTTTGAAGAATGTCAAAAATGCAATATACCGGCACAGAATTTCCTAGAGATTGCCACCAATCACCAATACTGCTTCATTTAATAAATAATCTTACGAATGGTATGCTTAATAAGACTTATAAATTACCACAGCTCTAGGCTTTAAGAATAACGGTTTCTTTATTGAGCAAAGTGCTGACTTTTAAACTATCAGTCCTACTAGATCAAAAGTGTATAATATATAAATGTCACTTCAGCCTAAACTATGCGAGAATTTTTAACTTTTCATTGATGAAAAAAATTAGGAGTAATGGAATGAACTTCTCGAACATGCTGCAGTAGATAGCCCCAATTGGTAAGGTATGAACCTTTATTCTTTATTGGATATTTTTTATTTTGAATATAAAAAAAGTCAATGAATATTTTTCTTTGAACCTAGTATTCAGTTTTTCGTGTCACAAAACATTCTGTAATCCTAAGTCCTCCCCTTTGCGTAAGTTGATTTCGCCATGATACAAGTTTTATTTATTAATTAATTTTTTGGAGAACGGATTGATCTACCGTACTCTTCGGAAAATGAATGTACCGAAATACCCAGCATACTATTAATAAAGCTTATAATACGAAATTGTTTGTGTGGAATTAGCTTTTGACATTCTTTTCCATATTTTAAATTTTATAGTTTAACGCATTTAAACAGCTGCCAGTTTCACTGGAAATTTCAATAGATGTACTAAGGGTCGTTTATTATCGTATTTTCAGACGAAGTGTGTTGGAAAACAGGTTTGCTGCATTCAACCCTACTATCTTCTAGTACTTGATTGCAACTTACAGCAAACCACGCTGAATAGTAATGAAATTAAATTAATTTGAAAGGATGTAGAGCTGTGGGAGTAAGTTAAAATGAAGTTGGTTAGGAGGTAATTTAAAAATAGATTGTTTTATTGATTTTTTTTTGGCTGCTGGGTTTAAAATCCTTAAAATGGTGAGTCAAATTAAAAAAAAATTCGTTCAATCATCTTACTGATTAAGTTAAGAAATGTATCTAGCTTATGTAATGGTGTTGTACATAGATTAAGCGATTTCATATTTAAAAGGTTGAGAATTTTGAAAATAAGTCATAATTAAGTGGGTCTAAAGGTGATTATAGTAATTTAAAAAAATTTGTTTTTCTTTTATCGATACATTTTCTAAGAGCCAATGCTATTAGTTGGACTGAAATGGTTCACTAAATGCCTGATTCTATTGTTAGAATCTAGTGTCATCGTTATCGTGCTGGCTTGGCTATTGTGTACTCAGAACAGCTCAGAATACAAAGGCAGCTAGAAAAATACCAACGAACTAGAAGAATTCCGAAGTTTCGTTCTAGACTTCACCGCGAACGGACCTTGCACTTCCTTGTGATTTTTCCTTGCGTCAATATTTTATTTAAATTGTACTTTTTTCTCAATTTTCTTATACTACAGACAACGTAGATTTTAAAAAACGACCACAATCTTGATGAAAAATGATGTGACAATTTTTTCCTGAACGTTAAAATGGACAGTGGCCTGGACAATGTGTAGAAACTTCATTTTCCAACAATCTACTCTATTTGTCTATTAAGCCAATTAATTATTGAATATCATAGTAAACTATCCTGTATGGTACACAAAGTGGCAAAAAAAATTGGCCACCCTCGTTTGTTAGAAAATACGTGCTGCAGTCGTTATAATTTTTGTTGCTGTTTTTGAGTAAAACAGTTTTACCAAAAATGTTGCTATGGAAACAAAGAAGAAAATATTCCTCTTGCGTTGAACACTGCTTGCATTCGAAGTGGAATCAATTTTATGAGGTTTGGAATGTAGTGTGTGGAATATTTTCGCTCTCCTCCACCCACGCCATTCTTAATTCCTGGCAATTGTGTGTCCTCGGTGGGCGACATTTTACCCTACTTGGCAACTCGTCCCAAAGATGTTCTAGTCGGGGTGCTAAATGCTGCCCACTTCAAACAATGAACTGAAGCTCATTGCAAGTCACCAACGATCTTAGCTGTGTGGGGCCTTGCATTGTCCTACAAATAAAACCGTCGCTAACTACTGGCATATAAGGAAAAACTTCTTCTGATTCCACGACTTCAATAGCTTCCCCGGAGTGAAAATGTTGCGGGGATGTATTCGCTATGTTTTTTGTCTAAACCCTCTTTTAGCCATCAGCAGACCTAAAAAAACTTAGACTCATCCGAAAACAACATTTAGTGCAATCTTGCTCAGACCAATTAATGAGATTTTTGGCTTAGCTTAACGGAGCTTTTTTGTGCCTTGTCAGAAGTTTTGGACTAGCAGCAAGCTTTATCCAGCTTCTGAAAATATTCGCCTTATAGCGCGTAAACTGACGTTAACATTTGCTGAAATTGTTGCTTGATCTCAAAACAGGTAGAAAATCAATTACGAAGTACATTCGTTCATCTCTCTGGGATGTGAGACAATGGCGACCTGATCCTTGGCTTCTTAACTAACTTCCATTTAGTAGTGATAGAAGATCCTTCGGACAGTTGTTCTGGGAATGTTAGCATCCTGGCCACCATTGACACCTTCTGTCTTCCAAAAATGCTATGATCTAGCCAAATAAGTATCACTTAATCACTCAAATAAATTTGAAACTTAAAAATGGTATAACTTAAAACATCCAACATGAACATTAGAAAGAAAAATGGCAAAAAGGAGGGAAAATACAAAAGGTGGGGTTGAGATGGGAAGTTGGTGTCCGAGTGGATCGAAGTCACGAAAACTCAAGTGGTAGAGCAGCGGTGTATCTAGCCGAAGGTCGTGGGTTCGAATTCCACTCGTGACACTGACTTTTTTTATCTCAAATAAAAACCTTAATTAATTGAAAGTTAGAAAGAAATTTTACAGAAAAACCAACATGGAGAAGATTGACTTTTTATCAATTTATTTACAAAATTCATTAGTAAACAACAAGTAGGCGTTTTATCTGTGTTTTATTTGCTTCTAATTCTTTAAAACCGACGAAAAGTAAGTAATCAATCAAGGATTGTCTAAGAGTTAATTAAAAATATTAAGAGTAACACTTTTTGCCTCTCAGTATAGTTAAATTAAATTAATTTAAAAGGGTTTAGAGGTTTTGAAAACAAAACGTTGATGTTGGTTAGAAGATAATCAATAAAATGTGTTAATTCATGTAAAACGATGCAGAATTTTGGAAATAAGCCATAATTAAGTTGTTTAGAATGTGATTATAGACAGTTTGAAAAAAAGTTTTTTAAATAAATAAAAAATAAATTTTCTTTCTGAAAATGCAATAACCTTGGAACAGACTATGTAAGATTAGAAGATGTTAAATTTTGAGAAGAAGCTAAAATGAAATTAATTATTATTGTTATGTAAGGTCTTGGCTGAGATAAAAAAGACAGTGTCACGAGCGGGATTTGAACCCACGACCTTTGGGTAAATACGCCGCTGCTCTACAACACGTGCTATCGTGATTTTGAGATGGAGAGTTGATGTCCCAGAGGATCGAAGTCAAGATAGCTTAAGTGGTAGAGAAGCGGCGTATTTAGCCGAAGGTCGTGGGTTCAAATCCCGCTCGTGACACTGTCTTTTTTATCTCTACCAAGACCTTACATAACAATAATAATTAATTGAAAGAAGTAACTTGGTCAATTGTCCATTAAAACGTTAATGGTTTAAAATGAAATTAAAAAAAAAAAAGATTTGAGCACACAGTTTGAAAGAAGGTAGTTGTGCTGAGTGGAATGGATTTAAAAAAATTAAGTAAAATCTTTATTGATTTTTTCTTTGGAAAATGTAAAGCACATTTAGGAATTGAGCCTTATTTATTTTTATTATATTTTATTATTTTTTATTAAATATAGATTCAAGATTTAATTTTTNAGCACATTATTTTATTATTTAATTTATTTTTATTTTTTATTAAATTTAACTTATTTTTCTTTAAAATATTATCTTGTATTTAGCATTTATGTATAATTTTCTCCTTAAACATGAACCAGGAAACATGTTTGACTCGTGGTAGCACAAAATTTCCTTTTTTTTATTTATTTGAAAAACATATTTGTTTATCTTATTCTTTAGACTTTTTTATACAACAGTATGTTGGAGGGTAAAATATGACGGTTGGGTATGCAAAAGCGTTTTTTCATAGCAAGGAGAAAATGTTTTTAATTATAGCGAAAGCTGTAGGTATTGTTGACTCTCGGGATTCATTTGGCGTCTAAAAGAGATTCTCGTACAGTTGCTAAACACTACAAAGGAAAAACCGTAATTTAGTGCTGTTAAAGTTTCGGTAGCGTCCTCCGGATACGTGCCAACGACAAAACAGTTGGCGGTGAGAAATCATGGACACCACGAGGTCGCTGAGTTATGTCCTGTGTTATTACTGGGCTGCATATCCCAGCTATTCTGTAATGGCGCCGAGTGGAGTAAAACTTAACGCAATATGCATTCTCTCGCGGACGATTACCCTTTGTTGATGTTGACCCAGGATTATTTGACGGCATTCCATTATCTAGTTAAAACAGTGAAAAAAATATCCCTAGCTCTCGGATGACATGGTGATTAATTGCTATTGTTTTTCCGAAGTTTTTAATACTAATGGATTGTCGGAAACTAAAAAAAATTGCCCTGAGAGCTTAAACATGTTTT